ATCTGCATGCTTTATGTTTGTCAGTTTGCAGGGGGCCCCCCTGTTGCCCCCGGACCTTCGGCTCGCCCCCCCCCCCGCGCGAGAAACTCAGAAACGATGCGTTGGACATGGTCGCGACTGCGCTGGCCGCGTCGCTCGGGGCGGCCCCTGAACTCTGACAACTGGTCGCGCCCCTCTCGCAGACCGTGACGTTGCGGCCCCAAACCCAAACGCACTGGATGTTCAATATGTTGCAATACACCTTCCGAACCCACATTTGATTTAAATGGCTTGGACGTGCTCTTAGAAAAATAAAGCCGTTTCGTGCGGGACAGCCCCGAAACGTCAACCCACCGCGCTCAAGCTTGCCCTCGCATGGCTGAGAAACAATATCGTCTGAGACACATTGCCAACATTGGCATCGGAGCTTGTTTTCCGATGGGACCGCAGAGTGCGAAACGCCCTCTTTCGCCAAACACGTCGGGCGCGTGAGACTGCGATCCCGCTGTTGAGCTTCCAAACAGCCCCATTGAAGATCCTCGTGATCCTCCTCTCAATTGGCTGCTTCTCCATATGCTTCCTCCCGCTCCTCGAATGTGATCCATTGCCTGTAGTGGCACGCGCGTCCCGCTTGTGTGTGTGTGTACATTTATATTTTTATATATATATATATATATACATATACATATATATATATATATATTGACGGCGCCGACGACTGCGACGGCGCAACTCCGTGGATTTAACCCACGGGTCCACGCTAGTGTATATATATATATATACAAACGCGCACACTGCAACTGCGCAAACGGCGTCCGCGTTCAAGGCGTTCAAGAAGAGCAAGGGGTTGACTGCGAGGGTCACCAAGCCCGAGCTCGCGGTGCACTCCGCGGGAAAAATCAGAACCCCGCCGGGTGCACCACCGCCGGGATTGAGTCCGCGCGGTCTGTGGTGAAGCGCTGGGTCCGCCGCAAGCGTGGCGGGCGGATGCCGAGCCACCCCGATCGGCAGAAATGGCGCGACCTGTTCGCCGAGCTGTGGCGGCCAACCCAGACGCTCGACTACGGCCGCGCCGTCTTTCTCCATTTCGGCTCTTTCGCCAGCGCGCGCGCCAGAGCCGCAATGACTCCGCAAGGGGTACTGACCAAACGATGTCGCTCAAGTGACGCTCGCGAAGCGTAAGGTCACCACAGAAACACCAGCCATCAATGCCACCCCGAACCTTTAGCTCGCCTCTCCCACGCGAAAAACTCAGAAACGATGTATTGAATATGTTCGCGATTGCGCTGGCCGTGTCGCTCGGGGCGGCCCCTGCATTCTGAAAACCGGTTGCGTCCCTCGTGCAGACCGCGACTTTGGTCCCAAAATCAAACGCACTGGATGTTCAATATGTTGCAGCAAGTCTTTCAAACACACACACATTGGGTTACAATGACTTGGGCGCACACGTAAAACAACAGCCAGGTCGTGCGAGACATCCCCGAAACATTTCAACCCACCGTCTTCAAGTTTGCCCTCATATGGCTGGGAAAAAAGCAATCTCGTTAAACACAGATTGCCCACGTTGGCTTCGCGGGGTGCGAAACGCCATCCTTCGCCAAACACATCGCGCGCGTTAGGCTGCGATCCCGCTGTTGAGCTGCCTTCAAAACAGCCCCATTGAAGATCCTCATGGTCCTCTTCTCCATGTGCTGTTTCTCCATATCCTTCCTCCTACTCCTCGAATATTACCCATTGACTGCAGTGGCGCGCGCGTCCCACTTGTATGTATATGTACACGCGCACACTGAAACTGCGCCAACGGCGCCCGCGTTCGAGGCGCTCAAGAAGAGCAAGGGGTTGACTGTGAGGGGCACCAAGCACGAGCTGGCGGTGCACCCCGCGGGAGAAATCAAGAACCCCCGCGGGTGCACCACTGCCGGGATTGATTCCGCGTGGTCTTTGGTGAAGCGCTGGGTCCGACTCAAGTGCGGCGGGCGGGCGCCGAGCGGCTCCGATCGGCAGCAATGTCGCGACCTGTTCGCCAAGCTGTGGCGGCCAACCAGACGCTCGACTACGGCCGCACCATCTTTGCCCATTTCGTTTTTTTTGCCAGCGCGTGCGTGCCAGAGCCACAGTGACTCCGCAAGGGGTACTGACCAGACGATGTCGCTCAAATGACGCTCGCGAAGCGTGAGGTCGCCACAGAAACACCAGCCATCATCTTCATGCTTTACGCTTGTCATTTTGCAATGGGTTCCCCTTCACCACGAACCTTTATCTCGCCCCTCACACGCGAAAAACTCAGAAACGATGTATTGAATATGTTCGCGATTGTGCTGGCCGTGTCGCTCGGGGCGGCCCCAGCATTCTGAAAACCGGTCGCGTCCCTCGTGCAGACCGTGGCTTTGCGGTCCCAAAATCAAACGCACTGGATGTTCAATATGTTGCAACACGTCTTTCAAACACACATTGTATTAAAATGGCTTGGACGTGCACGTTAAAAAAACAGCCAGGTCGTGCGAGACATTCCCGAAACATTGCAACCCATCGTGTTCAAGCTTGCCCTCATATGGTTGGAAAAAATTAAAAACAGATTGCCAACATTGGCTTCGGAGCTTGTTTTCAAATTCAACCGTAGGGTGCAAAACACCCTCCTTCGCCAAACACATCGTGCGCGTTAGACTGCGATCCCGCTGTTGAGCTTCCTTCCGAACAGCCCCTTGGAAGATCCTCATGGTCCTCCTCTCATTTTGCTGCTCTCCATATCCTTCCTCCTGCTCCTCGAATATGGTTCATTGCCTGTAGTGGCACGCGCGTCCCACTTGTATGTATATATACACGCGCACACTGAAACTGCGCAAACGGTGTCCGCGTTCAAGGCGTTCAAGAAGAACAAGGGGCTGAGTGTGAGGGACACCAAGCACGAGCTTGCGGTGCACTCCGCGGGAGAAATCAAGAACCCCCGCCGGGTGCACCACTACCGGGATTGAGTCCGTGTGGTCTGTGGTGGAGCGCTGGGTCCGACTCAAGTGCGGCGGGCGGGTGCCGAGCCACTCCGATCGGCAGAAATGGCCCGACCTGTTCGCCGAGCTGTGGCGGCCAACCAGACGCTCGACTACGCCACACCATCTTTGCCCATTTCGGCTCTTTTGCCAGCGCGTGCGTGCCAGAGCCGCAATGACTCCGCAAGGGGTGCTGACCAGACGATGTCGCTCAAATGACGCTCGCGAAGCGTGAGGTCGCCACAGAAACACCAGCCATCATCTTCATGCTTTACGCTTGTCATTTTGCAACGGGTTCCCCTTCACCACGAACCTTTAGCTCGCCTCTCCCACGCGAAAAACTCAGAAACGATGTATTGAATATGTTCGCGATTGCGCTGGCCGTGTCGCTCGGGGCGGCCCCAGCATTCTGAGAACCGGTCGCGTCCCTCGTGCAGACCACGATGCTAAGGTCCCAAAGTCAAACACACTGGATGTTCAATATGTTGCAACACGTCTTTCAAACACACATTGTATTAAAATGGCTTGGACGTGCTCTTCGAAAAAAACAACCAGGTCGTGCGAGACATTCCCGAAACATTGCAACCCACCGTGTTCAAGCTTGCCCTCATATGGTTGGAAAAAATTAAAAACAGATTGCCAACATTGGCTCCGGAGCTTGTTTTCAAATTCAACCGTAGGGTGCAAAACACCCTCCTTCGCCAAACACATCGTGCGCGTTAGACTGCGATCCCGCTGTTGAGCTTCCTTCCGAACAGCCCCTTGGAAGATCCTCATGGTCCTCCTCTCATTTTGCTGCTTCTCCATATCCTTCCTCCTGCTCCTCGAATATGGTTCATTGCCTGTAGTGGCACGCGCGTCCCGCTTGTATGTATATATACACGCGCACACTGAGACTGCGCAAACGGTGTCCGCGTTCAAGGCGTTCAAGAAGAGCAAGGGGCTGAGTGTGAGGGACACCAAGCACGAGCTTGCTGTGCACTCCGCGGGAGAAATCAAGAACCCCCGCCGGGTGCACCACTGAGACTGCGCAAAAGCATTAAACGTACCACGGTGCGCCCTCGTGGCAAACATCTGGAACTCCCGGCTGGCGCACCATGCGCCCACGAGTCGCCCACGGACGGCATCGGGGCGGACACCGGGAACGCCGAGCCAGCTACGTCAGAACATTCAAGGAGAAACCCTAAGAGCAGTCACTGTTTGGCGGACATGTCTCGAAATGCAACTCGTATTGCGTACGCATCCTTCCCCCTGATTCCTGGCGTCCTGACTATTGACAGCGCAGGCTCCAGAACTCTCGCCCTCGTACTCGCGGGGAGCGACTTTTCGCCCCTGATCCCTTCATGACGGTCGAAGCGAATCGAAGCGCCGACAAAGTCAAACAGGACAGCCCCATGAAAAACACGGCGGGTGGGCCAGAGCCCAGGGAAGACTTTGGTCCCGTGTGATGTACACTTCAATCTACGTTCTTTGCGAGGCCAGAGCGATGAGAGTGAGGAATCTCGTCTCGTTTGATTTGTAAAAACATTGGAGAACATTTAATATAACACGCGTTGCTTTTAAAAGCCATCAGCGCTTTTGAACTGTTGAGTTGAATTGCGAGATGATAGTGTAATGTGTGCCCATGTTTGTCAATGTATGCACTCTTTGCGTTGCCCTCGACAATCGCGTTGCAAAATCAAACAGTGTATCCAACGATCCAAAAACGAACGCCTGACATCACTTCCCTCCCAGGCGCTTCCGGGTCTTGCATTTTAATAACCGCGTTGTGATTCTCGATAGCTTTCGCCGTTGACGTGGAAATCTACAGGTCCACTAGGGAACTTTGTGTGTGAATGTATTTGTGTTCCGCATGCGGCCTGGAAGCGACCACTGGAAGACGAACGTGGCAAACATGTCCCTTTGTCTTTTGCTCAAGATGATGCGCTGGAGTATGAGTTGTACGTAGAGCGTCTAAGGGTTCTGGGCTTCTTGATCTCCGCTTGGGAGCTCCTCCTGTGCTTAGGCGCGCTGGTATTGAATTCCCCATGGGAGTTCCTCCTGTGTTTGGACGGCACGTTGTTGAACTCCCCGGGGGAGTTTCTCCGGGCCTTGGGCGACACGGGCTTGATCTCCGCGTTGGAATTCCTGGACTTACTGGACTTCGCGGAGCCTCCCGTCGAATTGCCCGAGGCGCTCGCAGTCGCCACCTCCTGCCCGATCCGGCGGAGCTTGCCGGAGGGCGCGGCCGCGGAGCGGGGCCGCCTGGCCTCGTCGTGCGGCGCCTCGAGGCGATGGCCGACGCTGGGGACGCTTCCAGTCCTGGGAGGGCCCCCATACCTGCACGGATACACCCATCCTGGCCAGGTCCACCCTGAGCCAGGATCGGCGCATACGTCCCAGACATCAGATGGTGTGAGTCCCTACTCGAATAGCTGGGGGCGTTAGATTTTACCAAAATGAGCGACTCCCGCCTGTCAACTCTGCATACCGCGGTCGCCAGACCCCACAAGATCTCAGGGGTCCCTGAGTGTACCGCCTCGCTTCCTTGACGAACGACGACACCCTGCGAACCAGGCAGCCCCCGAGGGGAAGGCGTCACGGTGTCACGCCGTCCAAGCGTCACGACGCATGAACAAAGAGGCATGAAGAACCGCATACCATCACCAACTATCGCATACCATAGCATTGCATGACAGCAACGACTATAGTACAACGATACATCACATACTTGAGCAGGAGCACCATACCATACCATGACATACCATAACCCACTGAACACTGTTCATCATGACGCAGCATAGCAAACCGCCACACATCATATCATGCCAGAGCAGAACATACAATTAATTTGCATCATCGTGACAAATGAACCATCATACCATCCCGTACGAAGCAGACGGCTATCTAGCGGAATCTAACAGAGTACGTAACGCCTCGCAGTTGCGGGTAAGAATGAGGGGGCGGCGAGGACGTCGTCAGTCTGCCAGGCTCTGAAAAAGCCCGCCGCAGGTGCCTAACTTTTACAAATTATGCAGTGAGCCCGTCGCAGGCGCCGATTTTGTCGTTAAAGCAATGTGGGTGGATCGCGGGATGGGTCGCGGGTTGGTTCGCGGGTGGGTCGCGGGTGGGTCACGGGCCGGGTCGCGGGGTGGGCCGCGGGGTGGGCCGCGGGGTGGGTCGCGGGCGGTTCGCGGGCGGGTCACGGGGTGGGTCGCGAGTGGGTTGTGGGTGGGTCGCGGGCTGGGTCGCGGGGTGGGTCGCGGGGTGGGTCGCGGGGTGGGTCGCGGGGTTGGTCGCGGGTGGGTCGCGGGCGGGTCGCAGGGGGACGACGACAACAACAACAACAACAACAAGAACAAGCATAATCCCGACCACGGATCCCCACTTCAACCACGCACCCATGGACAACGAATGACCGCTCGGCCCCTCACTCTGATAACATATAACTTCATAAACACCTAGGGTGTTATACGACGACGACGACGACTACTACGACTACTACGACTACGACTACGACTACGACTACTACGACTACTACTACGACTACTACTACTACTACTACTACTACGACTACTACTACTACTACTACTACTACGACTACGACTACTACTACTACTACTACTACTACTACTACTACTACTACTACTACTACTATACTACTACTACTACTACTACTACTACTACCACTACACTACTACTACTACTACTACTACTACTACTACTACTACTACCACTACCACTACCACTACCACTACTACTACTACTACTGCTACTACTACTGCTACTACTACTACTACTACTACTGCTACTACTAGTGCTACTACTACTGCTACTGCTACTGCTACTGCTACTGCTACTGCTACTACTACTACTACTACGACTACTACTACTACTACTACTACTACCACTACTGCTTCGACTATCCGAAGCGAGGCGGTACTACTACTTCTACTAAACAACAACTACTACAACTACTACTACTACTACTACTACTACTACGACAACGATTTTAATATTTCACGCCATAGTCTCCAATAAATAATGAATGACACATGCCATAACATGCCGGGGCATACCATAACATGGCACACGGATCGATCACGCATTTACCCTAGCGGAGCATAGCAGCGAGCAGTACAAACAAACATCCTAGACACACATCTAACAATGTAAGGGTATACATTCTGACAATAACATAACACATCAAATGTCAACAACTAACTAGGCACACACATAGAACAGCAACTCAACACATAACGTACAATACAACCATAGGATAACCTACCACAACATAAAGCACTAACCATCTTGTCAAATTCGCCGATCCAGCGTATGAGTTTCTGAGAGCGTGGACTTGAGCTCGCTCAAGCCTCACTCTGCAGGGGGGGGAGGGGGGACGCCATTCCCGACGCATTTAGTGCTCGGGGGCAGAGGGGCCCACGCCATCAAAGGGGGAGGGGGAGGGGGGGGGGACGCCATTCCCAACACATTTAGTGCTCGGCGGCGGGAGGGCCCACGCCAGTCAGGTGGGGGGGGGGGGGGCGCCATTCCCGACGCGCCATTCCCGACGCATTTAGTGCTCGGGGGAAAGGAGGGTCACACCATTCCCGACGCCGTTCCGACGCTCTGACCATTGAGGGGGAAGGGGCCGACGCCTTTCGAAACGCCATTCCCGACGCATTTCGTGCTCGCAAGACGCCTCCAAGACGCCCCAATAGGTATCCAACCACCGAAGAGAGACCCACGAGGTCCAAATCGTCCAATTCCGATGGAAAACATACAGGTCCTCCTTATACGACATTTCGGCCTTCACGACGTTGCCGACGGTCCCAGAGGCCCACGAGACCGCGTCAAGACGGCTCAAGAAGCTCCCAAGACGACCCCAAAACGGCCCAAGAGGGCGCCAAGACGGCCCAAGAAGCGCCCAAGCCAGCCCAAGAGGGCTCCAAGACGGCCCCAGGAGAGGCCCAAGAGGGGGAGCCCGAACCGAAAATCCCAGCCTTTCCCCTCACGAGGTTCTAAAGAGGCTCCAAGAAGCCCCCAACAGGCGCCCAAGAAGCACCCAAGAGGCCCCAGAAGGCCCCCATGAGGCCCGAAAGAGGCCCCAAAACGATCCCGAAGAGCCTTCCCCAAGTCCCTTGCTCAATCCCTTGAGCCTCAGTCCTCAAGCCTGAGGATTCTTAACGGGCCCGGACCCCAAGCTCTCAAATCTCTTAGGGCTACCCGCGCGCCCTCGGGGGCCCCCAGAATGTTCCCACATGACTTTTTCGAGCCCAGGAGAGGCCAAAGACGGGGCCCCACGAGGCCCTCAAGACGGCCCAACGAAGCCCCGAATCACTGAACGATCGCACCAAGACAACCAAGATGGTCCCATGGCCATTACCATGGTTAACATCATAATCATAATCATAATCAGCATCATGTTCATTAGCATCATCGACCATGACCATGACCATCACCATGACCATGACCATGACCATCATCATCATCATCATCATCATCATCATCATCATCATCATCATCATCATCATCAGCATCATCATCATCATCAACATCAGCATCATCATCATCATCAACATCGTCATCATCATCATCATGAAATATCATCATCATCACCAGCATGATCATGATCATGATGATCATCATCATCATCATCATTAGCATCATCATTATCCGGAGCGCCCTGGATCGGCGGCACTGGTCGGAGGCCAACAAAATAGACAATAATTGACTATTACAAGAAATACTCAACAACGGCAGATTAACGGCAACCTATCAACCGCGACGTGTGCGCCGAGGTCACGCTGCCCAGGCGCATTGACGACTGGTTGGACGGCGTATCAAAAGTGACAGGCGTCATGACGTCACGCTGGCCCGCCAGCCCGTCCAGAACAACATAGAACGTCACACAACACAATGGATCACTAACATACTTGAGCATCCGCCCCCGTGCCTCTAATCACGGAGTGGGCGCGTCCTCAAGTCCTTTGCCCAATCCTCTAGGCCTCAATCCTCACTCCTGAGAAATGTTTACGGGGCCCAGACCCTACATTCCGAAATTTAACGTCTTAAAGATTACCGATCGTCCTCGCACAAGGTTCCGTTACTGCTTCGCGACGGCACCCGAGCATCCCAACCTTTACTGGTTGCACCCGCGGCCCAAGGAAATTCCTGACTCCCTCCCCAAGCGCAAATCCTCCGCTCAGACACATGTTTGATGACCCCAGGGTACATAAATGGCCGCCGACGCCAAAATTGAAAGGAAAGTCGACGCGGTTGACAAGAATTGGCAACCCCATGAACACAACGCCTGCAGGTCAGCTTTCTGAAACGTCAGCTGGGGCTAAGAATTCGAGAGATGTCTGCAGCCAAGGGATCCCCGGCTAGGGTGTCCGATACCCCATCGTCGAGTGGACGCGAAAGGGTGGGGTTCGCAACTGGTCGCAAACAAAACTCAGCAAAATCCGCTTGTCATGACCTCGGGCCCCGGAAACGGCCCCTGGAAACAGAAACTGATAATATACATATACGTTTACGTCACATAGAAATGCATCTATGTATATATATATATATACACAGACATACATACATGCAAACACATACAATATGTACATACACATATACACACGTACATACATACATACATTTCTATATATAACGTACATATATATATATACACAAAACTGTATGTATGCAAGGTGGCGCGGTCGACAACCGCTAATCTACCAGAGGCTAATTAGGGTACATGGTCGGGAAAACAAGCAAAAACGGTACTGCTGCTTCACGGACCTCTCCCAAGGTAGGCGATGGCAATAACTGCAAAGAGAGAATCCGGCCGTGACGGCGAGGACCCTCCAGGACGAGCAGCGGCACCGGCTCGACGCTTCCTCCTCCCCCTCTTTTCGGGGATCTCCTGACCAAGGTCAATCCAGACCCGGGTCAGTCAAGCCTTGCAGAATCCTGCAAGATCCTGCGCCCAAACCCGGGTCAGTGCGAAGGATCCTGCAAGATCCTGCCGGATCCTGCGCCCAAATCAGCGTCCATGCGCCCCTGGCCTCTGCAAGATCCTGCCAGATCGGGCGCTCTGGCTGACCCCCGTTTGCATTGACCCCCGTCTCAACGCTCCCGACTTTTGATAGCTGCCTTTAGTAAACCTCCCCTCAGTGCAAACGGCCTAGGACCGAAACCGACGGGCCTGGACCCGCAGACATGACGGCCGCGACGCCCTCTCGCGAACCGAAAACGGCCAATTCCCTAATAGACGTGCCAGGGTAAGAGGTCTATCGACCTCCGATTCTGATCGCTGGCGCCCGCTGGAGTCCGCCGCTTGTCCACACGCCCGGCGAGACTCGGCTGCTGCTGCTGGCTGCGGTCCGCGGGGCTCTCGCCCTCGGCGTGCGCGGGCGGCGCGGCTGGAGCCGGGCGGCCCCGAAGCCTCGCCAGCACCTGCTCCGCGAGGGGCTCCGCGAGGAAGTGGGGCAGGAGGGCCTCCACCCTCGCGATCCTCCCGGGGCAGCTCCAGGAGCACAGATCTTGAGCAGGGACCGACCGTCCCGGCATTCCTATAGTCCTACCACGAAGGGTTCTTAGAACCCAGAAATGTTGTAAGGACAAAACAATGTTCTTAGAACATAAGCCCGATGCGATACAACAAGACAGACACCGCCAGAAGGGTTCTAAAAACATTTCGTGGAAACCACAAAAGAGTCTTCTTAGAACTTTGTTTGGTAGGGCTATAGGCACGCCGGGACGCTTCGCCACTGCTTGACGGGGAAGTTCCACGAGCCCAGATCTCCAACGGTATCACATGTTCTAGTCCCGGCGCTCTTCGTCGACCTGGGCCCCTGGGGCTCGTTGGGTCGGCTTGCGGGGCCAATCGCAGATGGGCCTGCGACGAAAAACTGCTTCCAAGGGAAGGGGTCGAGACCTCTGTGGCCGCGCTTTCACCCCAAAACACGTCGTCGGATGTCTGGGAAGGGGGGGTAGCCAAGGGGAGTTGGCGAATCTAGCAGACAAGAGGATTGTGGCGAATCAGCTGGGGGGCCCTCAGGGCACCCCTTTTAGGGCCCTTCTCTTCACCCCCCATTTAGGTCACCCCCCATGTTGCCACCCGCCTGATACGCGAGCTGGTTTTCCTGGCGCCTCCCAGCGCCGGAAGCGCCGTCGCATCGGGGGAACGCCCGGCGCCGGGAGGCGGTGCATGCAATAGATTTCGCACCCCTCCTTTCCATACGGTCTCCCTTTCGTCCGACCCGATCCTCTGGAGCTGTATGCGCCTCCAGGTGCGCTGCAGCTTCTTCACCTTGAAGATGAAGTCCTTGATGGAACCGAGCAGGTGCGGCTTGACCTTGTGCCCTGTGTGCGACTGTAAGAACCACAGCAACGTGGGCTGGGCCATGCAAGCCTCCGTCAACTGCAGAGTGCGGCACGCTACTAGCACCCCGACGCGGAGCCTGACAATATTCTGATAAAGAATTCGTTTCCGCCTCCTCGTGCTGGCGCGAAACATCCAGCAGTGGATCTTAAAGCACGCCGCTTCGCGCTCTCTCAGATGCTCTCGCCACCCTCTATCGTGGCTGATCCTCGCGCCAATGCGGGTCGCCACTGATATGGCGATGATCGCTTTCAGCCACTCCTCCTTCATCCTGTCCTTTGGGGACGCTGTGACTTGGGCGCGAATTGATGGGAGGCGATCGGTGGCGGAGAAGAACGGTGCCCTTCTCGGACCCTACAAGGCCCCTTTTTGGCTCGTGGAAGGCCTCTTTAAGGGCCCTACAGGCCCTCGTTCTACAACCATCGCTGCCCCCCCCCCCATTACGCGCCTTCCGAATGACCTGGGCGAACACGAATCCGGGCCAGCCGAGGCCACGTCGCGAACCCCGGCCGGCCGATCTATAGCTGGCCCCCAACCGCGGGCCAGTGGAGCGGAGGAGGTGAAAAAGGGGGGAACGATCCCTCGCGGCTCACAAACCCAGACTGGCCAGAGTGCGTCGGGAGGATATTGGCCTCCCCCCCTTGTCGGGACTGAACTTCGCCGCGCGCGCCCCGAGTCCTGTTGCGCGAGCTCCCTCCGGCGGAGCAGCCTCGCTCCCTTCTCCCGCAACCTCTCCTCTTCCCTGGCGATGCGGGCGTCGGCGACCTGGTCGAGCTCCGCGCGCCGGAGGACCGCCGTGCCGCGCTTCTGCTTCGCGCGGGCGGCCTTGGCGGGGGGGGGGGGCGCTGAGCGGACAGGAGACGCTCCGACGCGCCCGCTGCTCCCGCGCGCCAGGACCCCATTTCCGGTTGCCTCCCACATACTTGCATTAGATCTTAACTGCATGTAACGATTATGCTTATGACGGCCCATAACAAGCAAGTAACACAAACCGGATTATAGTCTAGGTTCGACATCGGCAGGACAAATATGACTTCAATATGAAAAGAATACACATATGAAAACGTAAAAAAAACAAGAGTGACACTCGATGCGGCCGTCAACGGAAGTGTGAATTCAACGAAAAACCAAAGTGCAAGTGCGACTTCAGCGAACATGAGAGTACATATGTGATTTCGGCGACAAGGGGAAGTACGTTTTCGCCCAAATGTAGATGCGAACAACAATGGTAGCGTGGCAAGCGATCGCTCAAATTACTCTGATCCCCCAGCGCCGCGAGCAAATCTCTTCCAGCGCGCCCATATCATGTTGGCGCGCACCGCGCCTCCGGGCTGAGTTGAAATGGCCGCGCAGCAATCCCTTGGATTGCGCACCAAGGCCCCTGGCGCGAAAGCCTAATTACGCACCACGCGGACCGCGGCAACGTTCACCTCGCTGGAAAACGGCCAATCACCATGCTCGCCCACCGTGCGCCGGCGAAACCAGGGCCCAACATGCCTGGGCGAGTCCATTGACAAGGGGGCTCGCCCGACGTCCCCTTCCCATCCCCAGGGGGGCATCGGCATCGACAGGCGCCGGCAGGCGATTCAGGACATCGTGCGACCGCGGTCAAATCGATATAGGTGGCGCCCCCAGCGGACGACAGCCATCATCGCCGCGATCTACACTGCAGCGGACAACGTCGCGTCAGGCAGCCGACCGCGACCGCCCCGCACCAACTCGCGCCCCGCGCGCCGACCGCCGCCGCCCCGAAGCACGAAACACCCCGCGACCCGACTAACATTGACATCCAGAGGCCAGCCCTGCCAGCCCCGCCGCAAGGACCACCGAGCGCAACCATCGGGCTCCAGCGCAAAAGCGCCAGCGACAATCAAACCGGCGCGCTCGAGACAATCGCAGACCACGCACTGGCGCAAGATGCCATCGGCAATCGAGGAACCGCCCGCAGTCAGGCCAGCGCGCAAACGCCATGCGCCAGCACCAACGACAGACGACAAGCAGATAGCGCCGCGGCCGGCACGGGCAAGTTTCAGAAGCCCACGTCTCGAGGCCACGACCACCGACGCATTGGCATTGGGCAACCTGCAGGATATCCACTGCGACAAAACAGCAGACCAGCAGCGCGGAGCAACGCGTAGGGGGCGCGGCGGACCAAATCTCGCCGCAACAATCCTCCGGTACTTGATCCAACGATGCCTCCAATCCGAAGCTGCGCGCGCTCTGGCACGGTTGTGTCTCGCGCGGGGGCCCGGGCCCCGCGCGGCCACTCCTCGCGCCGACCTCTGGCCACTGCGCATTCGCGCGTTTATTTCGAGCCCTTCGCGCGTCGCGCGCCGCGGCGTGTCGCTCGACGCGTCGCCCCGCGACGATTGCGGGCGGCGGCCGCAAGAAGGGCGCCGCTCGCGCGCCGCGGCGCAGCGCAAATGCGACACAGGCGACGCGGCGCGCCAGCTTGCTCCGAGCGGCGGAGCGCCGGCCGCGCGGGGGCGGGAGAGCGCTGCCCACGGCGCCGACGCCGCGGGCCTCGCGCTCAAGACGGCGCGCGCCTTCGACGACGACGCCCCGCGTAATCGCGGGCGCGTTCGGATCGACGCGCGCGCCGCGGTCGCGCCGCGAGGCGCCCCCGCGCGGCGCCCAGATTACCCGCGCGGGCCCGACCGCCGCCCAACGGATGCGAGAGAGCACGGGGAAAGCATCCCCCGCGCGCGCGGCGGGGGCAGCGAGCCAGAACGGCGACGGCCAGCCACAATGGCAACGGAGGGCGGCGGGGCGGGGGGGCAGGGGAGGCGCGCCAGCGGGAACTGGAGGCGGCGCGCGGGCAGCGGGGGGGAGGGCAATGCAGAAAGGGAAGAGATAAGGCTTAAGTGGGTGGAGGGGCGGGCGGGGGGCGCCGAAGGGGCGGTGCATGTGATTTTACAGAGCGCGGGCGCGCTTCGCCGCAAGCCTCCGCGGTCGCTTGCGCTGGCCAACATCGATCGCGAAATTGCCTGCCCCACCCGGGCCGCCCGAGCGCGCGGGGCCGCCCCGGGGAGAGAACGGGGCGCCCCGACGACGGGCCGGGGGGTCGCGTTCCCGAGAGACCCCCCGCCGACAAACAATTGGAAACTCATAGCTAGCGCTGCGCGCTTCGCTGGAACGCCCGGGGCGGCCCCGGGGCTTTCGCAAACTTTATCTTCGGCGACGGGTGCCTCGCGCCAAGTGCCGGGGGCGGCCCGCGCCGTTGCTTCGCTCGCGCGGGGCGAGCGCGAATTGCGATTCCGCCGCCAACCGCAATCGCCGCTGACGCCTGCCCGCCTTATTCTCGCGCGTCGAGGAGGGCGACGTTCTCCGCGACGCGCGCTGTCCCGCTTTCCACTCTCGCGCGGCGCGCGAACGGATTCTTCCGGGGCAGCGGCGCCGCGCGCCCCCGGCCCGCGGGGGGCGCGACAGAAATGATCTGTAGTGGCGCCGCGTGTCCTTCACTCGCGCGGAGCGAGAGGTATTTTTTGCGATTGACCTTGGGCCGCTGCTGGCATTCGCTGGAGTTTGCCCCGCGCGTCGAGGGGGGCGATGCTTCGTCGCGCAACGCGCGGCCTGGTGTTTTACCATCTCGCGCGGTGCGCGCAGGTTTTTCCCGGGGCAACGACGCCCCGCGCCCCCAGCCCGCGCGGGGCGCGACATAGTTTATCGGCAGTGGCTCCCTGTGCTCATATCTCGCGCGGGGCGATCTGGCGCCCGCCGGCGTCTGCCTCGCGCGTCGAGGAGAGCGATGTTTCGTCGTGAAATTCACGGCCCCGCGGTCCTCTCTCGCGCGGCGCGCGAGCGATTTCTCCCGGGGCAACGGCGCCCCGCGCTCCCAGCCCGCGGGGGGCGCGACATATTCTGTCAGCAGCAGTGGTGTCCTGTGTCTTTTAACTTGCGCGCAGTTCGAAAACTCTTTGGCTATTGATTTAGAGCCACTGCGGGCGTCCGCGGGCGTCTGCCTCGCGCGTTGACGATGGTAATTTTTCGTCGCGGAATGCATGGCCCAACGGCCCACTCGCGCGGGGCGCGGGCGATTTTCCTCCGCGGCAGCGGCCCCCCGCGCTCTCCGCCCGCGGGGGGCGCGACAGATTTAGATCCGCTGCTGGCATCCGTCGGCGCCTGCCCCGCGCGTCGCGAGGTTATGTTCCGTCGCGAAATTGGCGGCTCCGCGTTCCTGTCTCGCGCGGAGCCCGAAAGATGTCCGGCCTCGTCTCGCGTTGCGCGCGGGCGAATCCCCGGGCGGCGCGGGCGCTTGTTCCCATGCGGCGCGCGAGAAGAGGGCGCCGTGCAATCGCGGCGGCCCGCGCCTCGGCCGCGCCCGACCACGTCCGCCGCCGGTCGGGCCTCGACCCTCGGCCTCGCTCACGGGCTCGCAGCCCCCCTGGCGCCCGACAGCGGGCATTGGGGCGTGGGCCCAAGCGCGCGCCCGCAGATGCAGGCCCCGGGCCGCCGCCCGCACAATCGCGCCCCGAACGCGCCAAAGCTTGCGAAAGCCGTTCCCAAAGGCGCCGCGCCCAGTCTGCCCGGCTTGGACATTCGAAACAATTAGAGAAACTGTTCGAAAGAAGTGCGCCCCGATATGGAAGTTCAAAAAAAGTTTGGCAAACAGGTTTGAGGACAAGTTTGCTTAGATCTCGTGGACGTCTATGGGGCCCCCGCTACACGTTGGTAATCCGAGCGGGTAATCGGACCCTTGCAACTGTCATCATTGTTTGGGTTCCTCAGGCCTATACTTGGAGGAAGTATGAGGCGGGAGCTTCTTCTGTACATGAATGAGCTGGCCGTCGGCTAATTTTGCCACTGATATGGGCCCGCGCGCCCGAAGTAGCATAGGACACAAAAACAATGTATAAACATACTTCGACGACGACAAGACAGCGGTCAAGCGCAGGGGTAACCACTTGCGACCGGGCCAACGGTGGTACCCCGTCCTCGGCCGAATCGGGATAACCCCTTATCTCCAAGCCGCCAACAGTAACCCATCGGCGGCCGACGCGGACGCAGGGGTAACCTCTTGTGTCCGGGCCGGAGGCGGAAACCCATCCTCGGCCGAATCGGAAATGGGGGCAACATCTTGTGTCTGAGCCTCGGGCGCAGGGGTAGCCCCTTGCGCCCCGGCTGGGGTGGTAACCTTCCTCGGCCAAATCGGGGGCAGGGGGAATCCATCGTCTCCGGGCCGCCGGTGGTGGCCCATCGGCGGCCGAGTCGGGCGCAGGAGGGGACTCTTGCGCCCGGTGTTGTCTGCGCCTCTACGTCATGTTATCCCGCGCCACGCGCATGCGGAACATGCTGATCCCGCGGCCGCCCTCGCGCGAGTTTCTGGAGCGAGGCCCGCCGGCGTCCCTTGCTACACGGTGTATTGTGTTACATTGTTACGTATCCCCTCCCAACCCCCCCTAGGGGTCAAGCCACATCCGTCGACCCACAAATGGCGGACCCCATCTGTGCCTGAAAACCTACAAGAACCAATGGAAAATCTATGATTCGAGACATTTTGCCCTCTTAGGGGCCCAAGAAAGCTTCAAGACCCCCAAAGAGGCCGCCGAGATGCCCCCAAGAGGCCCCCAAGGCGGCCCAAGAGTACCCCATGACAGTCTCCGAAGGGACCAGACAGCGCAAGAGCGCCCCCAAGACGCCCACACGTGGCTCCGAGAGGCCCCCAAGAGGCCTCCCAGAGGCCCCCAAGAGGCCTCCCAGACGCCCCCGCGAGGACTCAAGAGGCCCCGAAGAGGCCTCCAAGGGGCCCCCAAGAAGTTCCCAGAGAACAGACAACGACTCGACAGTAAGTGCTCTGGACGTGCACCCCGCGAAGCGAGAGGAATCGAATAACAATATGCGAAAGTAAAATAACCGTAGCGAACGTATGTTACATATTAGGTCGGTGATGCACCGACTTAGGTAACTGCAGCTACCCGGCATTCAACTTCAACTTTAACTAGCGCAGCGGTTGGACAGGATGTAACATAATTTTATGTGGTGGGCTCGTGGCAACGACATACTTACCATACATATCGAGACATGTAGAGCGTGTGCGAATAAAGCCTAGAACATCTTAGCGCACCGTAAGCAGTTAGTTAACGAGCCTTAGCGAACCACGTATGGACTTAGTGAAACCTTACAAGGACCTGCGCTCTACTTCCAACGGCATATGTTGTGCGTCTATATACTTGAGGCGTAGAAGCACATCGCAGTAACAAGCTGACTCGACCTAAAACCCAATGCAAATAAGCAGGGCTCCCGCGCGAGCGGATGCGCCGGATGCGCTCGGCGGCGCGGCGCCTGGACCCAGCAATGCTCCCGAAGATCGGCGCCCGCCCGTCCAGCTCAGGCTCCTCGCCCCAGAGGGCGCCCGTGGTTCGGGAGCAACCGCGGAGGGGGACCCGTCACGAGGCGCACCCCGGGGCCAGAGTTCCGGGTCCGAAAGCAGCCTCAGGGCCCGAGAGAAGCCTCTACACGTCGATGCCATAGGGTTTCCTCGCGTCCTTCTCCCCCGCGGCCTGCAGCTGCTGGCGTTGCTCCCGCTGATCGCGCGTCTCCAGCGCGGCCGGGACATACCTCACCCTCTCGGCCAGGTGCTTCTGCAACCTGTCCTCGAGGGCCCTGCGTTCCGCTGGGTTGTTCCTGTACGTGTCCAGTTTTTTCTCGATCCTCGCCAACACCGACTCTTTGTTGACCCCATTGAGTATATCGCCGTCCTTAGAAGGACGAATCACACCAAGGTCATCGGAAGTGAGGGGGTGAGATCGAAGTGGAACGGAGAGCCCCCCTACCAGGAAATCGATGTTGGTTTCGTGTTCGTGCGTGCCGTGCGTGCGGGCGAGGCGAAGCTGCGTGGGCGGGCGAGAGAAAGTCTCCTATGGCTGAGGCGCGGCCGGACCAAATGTCTCCCTTCCGGGCGGCCGGGGGCCCGCGGTGTCCCGCCGGTGTCCCGCTGGTGCCCCGTGTGGCTGAGGCGCGGCCGGACCAAATGTCTCCCTTCCGGGCGGCCGGGGCCCCGTGGTGTCCCGCCGGTGTCCCGCCGGTGTCCCGTCGGTGACCCGATGATGATGATGATGATGATGATGATGATGATGAGGATGATGATGATGTTGATGTTGTTGATGATGATGGTGATGATGATGTTGGTGTGTTATTTTGATGATCGATACTGAGATCGATAGTGAGGCCGAGTGTGAGATCGATAGTGAGATCGATAGTGATATCGATTGTGAGATCGAGCGTGAGACCGAATGTCAGATCGATTGTGAGATCGATTGTGAGATCGATAGTGGTATTGGTAGTGAGATCGATTGTGAGACCGAATGGGAGATCGATTGTGAGATCGATTGTGGCATCGATAGTGAGATCGACAGTGAGACCGAATGTGAGATCGATAGTGGGATCTATTGTGAGATCGATTGTGAGATCGATCGTCAGATCGATTGTGAGATCGGTCGATTGAGATTTTTTGCTGTAGACCGCTGCTGCGCACGACTTCGAAAGAGGCGCCCGCGCAGGGGGAGAAAAGAGGGGTTTGAACCGAAATGGCACCCAGTCGACCCAGCCGAGTCCACCCAGCCGTCAAGGAAGTTGAACCCGACCACGATGCCATAGGAGTTCGCACCAAGGATGTAGACGGCGAGATTCGGCTCGACGCGAGACCTCAGGAAGAAGATGCACTGGCCCGTTCTCGCAGGTAACCCATGAAGATGAGCTTCTGCTTCAGGGCCTCGTCCATCCCCTCGAAATCGTCGACGCAAGACTTTGGGAGCGTTTCGCCACCAGCCGCGGCGCAACAAGCTCCAGCCTGATCTCGAAATTGCTGTCCTGAATGCCCGCCCTTCGCAGCACAGGCCGACGCAGCACAGGAACTATCATGCATCTCATCCTCCGATATACTGCCACCCGTGAACTCAGGCTCCAGGCGAGCCTTCTCTTTATCCTTCTCCTTCTTAGCCTTCTTCTTCTTCTTGACCTTCTTCTCGAACTTCACCACCACCGGTGAGTCGGCGCCTTCGGGGGAGGAGGAATCCCCGATGTAATACTCCACGACCTGCTGCGGCGTGGCGGAGTCCGCGGCGCACGAACTCCCGAAGTGGACGAAGTCAGAGGCGACGGCACCTTCGTCGCGTACGGGTCCTGCGGCGGAGCCTCCCACATCCCAGGTGGAGGCGGACGGGGCGGCAGCACCATCTTCCTCGTTTCCAGGTTCGGGATCTCCTCGCGCTTCTTGTACTTCTTGTCCCCCTTGTACTGCTTGAAATGCTTGGTCCAGCGGCGTCTCGGGTAGGGCCCCCGCTTGACAGGTGTCTCCATGCACGGGCGCTTCATCGGGTACTGCTTCTTTTTGAGCTTGGCACGCTGGTTCTGCTTCTTCTTGGGCTTGATGTTGATCTTGCACTCGTCCGTCATGGAAGCCAGAGATGCAGGCGGAGGAGCTGGCGGCGGCGGCAGCACCGAACGAGCTGCGACACGGCCATGTCCACTTGCCTGGGGCGTAACCATGGTGGGCCGAGGCGGACGAGGAATGCGGCGGAACCCCCCATCCACCTTGAGCAGAACAGACTCCGCTCCCTCCAAGAATGGCGGAGGCGGTACAATCGTCGATGAAGAGCACATCGATGTCATGACGATCGAGGGACAACACCAATGCCAGCAACTCCTTCGAAGCCACACCAACGGGCACAACGAAACGCATGCACCAGGCAGTTCAGGCAGTAAATCGAATCGTGGGCGTTGATCTCGATATGGAGACCCTCAAGAGAGCACACAATGTGGTCCAGCCCCCACGCATGCGGCGCTCGCCCGATCCCCGCGCCGCCCGCCGACGCGGCAGTGGCACGGGGGCCAGCTCGAGCCTGCACGGCTCTTGAGCCAAAATGGCTACGGATCGATCGATTGAGATTGATAATGAGATCGATAGTGAGTTCGATAGTGAGATCGATGGTGAGACCGAATGAGAGATCGATTGTGATATCGGTTGTGATATCGATAGTGAGATAGGTAGTGAGACCGAATGTACGATCGATAATGAGATCCAAAGTGAGTTCGATAGTTAGATCGATAGTCAGATCGAATGTGAGATCGATTGTGAGATCGATTGTGAGATCAATAGCGAGACCGAATGTGAGATCGATTGTGAGATCGATTGTGAGATCGATAGTCAGATCGATTGTGAGATCGATCGAGTGAGATCGATTGTGAGATCGGTAGTGAATTGTTGGATAGTAAGATCGATCAAGTGCGACGTTGGTCCCTTCCCCCCCCCCTCACCTCCTTATCACCCGAAGGGTGGTCGTATAGGCATAGGTATGTATATATATGTGTGTGCAAATATGCATATCGATGCATCTTTATATACATACATATATACATATATATTTTCATGTATTCATGCGTCGCTCCAAGCGAAGCTCGCCGCGCGGATACCACCGTGTTCTCTCGGAGCCATCTTGAAGCTCTCTCTGGCCCAAGCCACGACACGAAAATCGGAGGTTGCGGGGTGAGATCGCAGTGAAACGGAGACCCCCCACCGGGAAATCGGTTTCGGTTTCGTGTTCGTGTCGTGCGTGCGGGCGAGGCGAAGCTGCGCGTGATCCTCCTGCAGATAGGCCGAAGTAGGAGCGAAAATCCGTTCCCGTCCGCCGGTGGCTGGGAGGTGTCCCAGTTGGGCCGGGCGGTGTCCCGGGTGTCCCGGGTGTCAGTAGGAGCGTTGAAACTCCGTTTCCCGTCCGCCGGTGGCCAGGAGGTGGCCGGGCGGTGTCCCGGGTGTCCCGGGCGTCCCGGCGCTAACGCATGACGCGAACATCATAATTCATTTGTTTCGGCGCCTGCGGCGGGTTGTCTTATCTAATCCAGCTTATATTATCCAATCCATCTTGTCCAATCCAATCCATCTTATCTTCTCCAACCCATCTTGTCCCATCTTATCTTATCTTATCTTATCCGGCCCAATCCAATCCACCCAACCCAATCCATCAATTCATTTGTTTCTGCGCCTGGGGCGGGCCAATCCAATCCATCTTATCCAATCCAGCTCTTCCAATCCAACCCATCTTATCTCATCCAAACAATCTTATCCCATCCCATCCAATCCACCCAAACCAATCCATCAATTCATGTTTGTCGGCGCCTGCGGCGGGCTTCCTTATCAAATCGAGCTTATATTACCCAATACATCTTGTCCAATACAATCCATCTTATATTATCCAACCCATCTTGTCTCACCTTATCTTATCCCACCCAATCCAACTCATCCAACCCAATCCATCAATTCATTTGTTTCTGCGCCTGCGGTACAAGGTCGGTCGACGGATAGGTGGGATCTCATCGTCATCGCGATCATCATTGTGCTGGAGGGAGACTCTGATAGAGAGGGAGAGAGAGAGAGAGAGGGCGAGAGAGAGAGACAGAGAGAGACAGAGAGAGAGAGACAGAGAGAAAGAGAGAGATGAAATCAAGGTGACAGGCTGGAGGGCAGTCAGGGTGGGCATTTGATGTCAATCCCCCCCGCCTCCTTATCGCCCGCAGGGCGGACGTATAGGTAATGATTATCTTCACGCCTTTGCGGCTGACCTGGACTATGCGCTGATTCACACCGATCATGGCCAAGCTCGTCCTGGGCAAAGGCTTGGCGCATAGGCCCTCCTGGCTTGGCAAGGGAGGCTCTGCACCGTTCCCAGGATAGGCATGGCCATGGCCAGGGTAGCATTCACCTGGAAATCAGTTTCGGTTTCGCCTTCGTGTCGTGCGTGCGGGCGAGGCGAAACTGCGCGGGAGGGCGAGCGGAATAAACCCGCCGCTGCTAGGGCAAAACCGAGCCAAGTGATGCTGTGCCCCCCGGTTGGCCGGCGGTGGCCCAGGGGTGTCCCGGTGGTGTCTCGATGGTGTCTCTACGGTTGGTGTCCCCATGGTGTCTCCATGGTGTCAAGATGGTGTCCACATGGTGCCCCAATGGTGTCCCGATGGTGTCCCGATGATGTCCCTATGGTGTCGCCATGGTGTCCTGATGGTGTCCCGATGGTGTCCCGATGGTGACCCGATGGCGTCCCAATGGTGTAGGGACAGTTATGCACTGATGCTGCTGCGTGCTGCCCGTTTGCGATACCCCGCTCATCACCAGCATCGCCGCCGCCATCCATCGTCACCATCACAATCGCCATCACGCATCGTCACCAGCGTCGTCATCATGCATCGCCAGCAGCTCGCGAGCGCATCACCAGCATTGACACCATCACAAATCATCGTAATTGTCGTCCGTCGGTTGGCTCTCCCCACACAACGTCCCTATAACCCGAAGGGTGGTCGAATAGGCACATGTATGTATGTGTATGTGTGTGTGTGTGTGCAGACAAGTCTCGTCGCCAGAGTCCTTGTCGCTGCGGCGGAGAGCGCAGCGCAGAGAGAACTCGCAATGCTTCTCGGACTCCACGACGACAAAGAGCGCCTTCGCATCCCCCATCGACAGCGCGTGGGGACCCACGTCGCCGGGGCTGTGCAAGTAGTGTATCTCGCCGTCTTCGTCGTCCTGCATGGTGAATTCGTCCTGCAATGCTGGCTTCCCCCCGGATGTCACCGCGGCACTCATCACCGGCCGGCTGCTGCCAGACACCCCTGCCAAGCTCAGGCGCACGTCGGCAGCCCTCGGAGGCAGCGGGACGACGAACTGCTGCCGAGACTTCGCCGGGAGCACCTGCGTGTGCAGCTGGCCCACGTGCAGGGTGACCACGGGCTGCTCAAGCGGCTGCTTCGCGTGGTCCCTCGCTGGGTACATCGCCTCAATGTGGTGGATGAGCTGGCTAACGGACTCGGGCCCGAGCGGAGTGGACGGCAGCAGCGTCGGCGCGGACGCCGAGGTGAGCAGCAGCGGACCCGAGGCGTATGCCTCCTCAGGGCCGCGCGGGCCCCTCGGGTGCGCCGTCTCCAGGTCGACCAGCCGCGTCACAGAGGCGCTGCAGCGGCGACTGGCGCGCTCGCAGATGGAGGACTCCGGCCCCAGCAGCCGCCGCGGCCCCGCCGCGCTCTTGGGGCGCACCGCCCCGGCCGCGGGCGCCCTGCGCAGCCCCGCCGCGGCGCCCACGGCGGCGGAGTGGGGGCGCAGGCTTGCCTGCGGGACGAACTGCCGCAGGCCCCTCACCAGGTCTGCGGTCTGCCCTGACGGCTGCGCCACCGCCGCCGCCGCCGCGGTCCACCTGCCAGCCTCGCTGCCGACCCGCGTGCCCTCCGGGCTGTGCCCCGCCGACGCGGCGGCCGCGCCGCGCGCGGCACCCGCAGCGGGCGCCGCAGGGAGCGGGCGCATGCCGCCCGGGGCCGCCGCTTGCGGGGGGGCGCGGCAGCCGGAAGCCCCTGAGCCGAGATGGGGCCGGCGGGCGGAGAGTGTCCGCGGCGGGGCCCCAGGAGGCAGCCCTCAGGCGCGGTAGCCGGCCCCCGGACGGCCCGAAGGTTCCAAAACGGCCCAGAAGAGTGCCACGACGGCCCCATCCATGGCCCAGTCAGGTCCCCAAGGCGGCCTCTGGAGGTGATTACCAGACGGCTCAAGAGCGATCTCAGACGGCCCAAGATGCTCTAGAGGGCCCCAGGAGGCCCCAAGGACAGCCCTGAGATGGCCCCAGGACAGCCCTGCGGCGGCCCCAGAGGACCCCTGTATGATGGCTGGGGGAACACGCAGTCTACCAGCGTAGCTTCCCTTTCGCTCGACGTCCCACAACACAGACGCTTCTCAAATGCAGCCTGGGCGATGGGCGTCCCCCAACGCGATAACGATCACGACATCGACGACAATTACAACGACGATGAGCGCCGATGTCATCGATGACATCGTCGTCGTTATGGATATGTTTGGTGATTCTGAAGTTTCTCGTCGCCACTGCTGAGTGCGGCTCGAAAAGCTTGCCAGCATGGACCCCAGCAGGAATCACGGAGCGATGTTGAGGGGATCTTGGACGGACGACGCAGACAACAACGGAGAGCGCCGCCGACGACTTCGACGCCGACGTCGACTTTCGCGACTAAAACAGACGATGATGACATCGACCGACGACGACAACGCCGACTTCCACATCGACTACAACTAGGACGAGAATGATGCCATCAAGGGGTTGGCTCAAGATATGTTCCAGGAATTCCAAGAGTATCTAGCAGCCCTCGTTTCTGCAGCCCCTGTGGAACATCAGGACATCTGGGAAATCCCAGAAATCTTGGGAATCCTGGAGCGTATCTCTGCCGTGTGTGCCCGCCTGTTACGACGAAGACTCCGGGTTCGACGCCGACGTCGGCCTCGACGCTGGCCCGCGGAGGCGGCGGGCGGCACGCGCGGACCACGGGCCCGCGCTCTGCCGGCCGGAAGCCAGGAAGCCGGCCTGCGGGGCCGCGCGCTCGCACGGGCGACGGCTCCAACGGCGGCCATGACGAGGACGACGGCGGAGGGCGACGACGACGGCGGCTGACGACGAGGGTGGACGACGGCGAAGGCGACGGCGACGGCGGCGCCGACGACGGCGGACGACGAGGACGGCGACGGCGACGGACGGAAACGACGGCCACAGCGACGAGGAAGACGACAACGACCACGACGACGGGGACGGCTATGGCGAGGGCGATGACGACCACGACCACGACGGCGGCAACTGCGGCGAAAGGCAGCGCGATCGCGCCAGCGAGGGTCTCCCCCGCCGTCGTCGCCTGCCTGGGATGGCCCCAGGCAAGCGTCGCCCTTCGTGCCTGGCTCTCGGGGGGGGGGGGGGCACGAGGGAGAGTGGTGCCAACCCGCGCGCTGAGGTGAGAGTACGAACCGTGCCTGGCTAGTGCGGGGGGGGAGGGCGGGCTGCGGGCTGGCCCCGTAATTAGGGGAGGGGAAACGGAAGGGGGGAGCTGGCTCGGGACCCAGACATGCGACGTCCTGATCTTTTCAGGACGGCGTCCCCAGAAGTCCAGACCCTTTCCCTGGGGCCGGTTCTTCATCCTGAATCGTTTTTTGACGGTCCTGGGGCCTGGCGAGGGCCTCTAGAGGCCGGAAACGGCGAAAAACCTCCGTCCTGAATTTTTCACGACGCGATCATGTCTGGGGAGGGGAGACACCGAGCTGGCATCGGCGCTGCCTCGCCGAGAGGTCGGCGATCGTTCCCCGATATGCCGAGTCCCCGTGCGCCTGGCCGCGGGGGGGCCATCGGGCCCCTCTCGGCGATGAGTGGGGTTGGGAAGGTCGACGCACCCGACCTCGGCCTGTTCCCCCCCTAACGTTGAGTCGCGCCTGTCCCTCTACAGGGGGGGTATTCAAAAATAGCCAAGAACAAGTACGGGGACTATTTTTTGGGTATGTTTGGGCATCCTTTGAGCATTTGTTGAATATGTTTGATGTTTCGCTTGAAATCCTGCTGTAGGGGGACATGCCCGACCTAACCCTAACGCTGTTTCAGCTGAAGAGGTCCTCTGACGAGAGGTCACTCTTGCGTGTAATCGAACATCGAGGCGCGGTGGATTCCAGGTACCCCGCTCAAGGACTGTACATAAACATCTCGTTGAAGGGTTCGGGAGCGGAGGGCCCCGTGTACGCACGAGAAGACAGGCATCGTCGGAGGTATGGGTCGACCTCATCTTCGTCCACTTCACCTTCTCGCTTTGTTTTGTGTTCGACACCCCCCTCGTCGTGTCGCCACGACTGGATGCGGATCGAAGCGCGGGTCAAGATATGTTCCTCGCAAGGGGTTGTCGACCGACTTTGAACGGAGACGCTCATATGCGGCGGGGATGCGTGAGGATATGCACCGCGATCCTCACACAGAAGCCATCAGGCTTCGCAAACCTGACAGGCAGCGGGGGGGGGAGGGCGCCGACGGGAAGATTTTGTCTCAGCGCCAAGGTAGAATGCAAAAGACCGCCCGGCAGCGAGCGACAGGGCACGCCCCACCGAAAAGCGGCAGGGATGAAGAAGGACCCGGACCTCCAAAGCTGCATATTTTGGCGGCGAGCGAAGGGGGGAAGTGAGGAGGACAAGGCCTTCTCAGAAGGCGGCGGGACCTCTCCGGAGCCCTCGCGCCTTCTGAGCAGTTTCTGCCCGTCGTCGGGGAAGGCTCAGAACACCTTGGACTTCCGAGCCCTCCGAGAAGGCCCGCCCCTTCCCACCTCCCCCCCCCTCGCTCGCCGCCGACGACGAGGAGGACCGGGGGGGGCCCTCCCCCCCTCCTGCCCCTCCTGCCCCGGACCTCGGGCAGACTGCCCTTTCTGAGCCTTCCGAGAAGGCCCGCCCCTTCTTACACCTTACTCGTATGGCGCTCTCAAGCCCGTGCCTTTCCAGTACGCGTGTCAACGTTTCGCCCCTGCTGGGGCTCGTCAGGACTCAGGCCTTTTTTTTCATTTATTCTTATTTTTTTCATTTTTTCATTACTTCCCCCCCGTGGCTCGCCGCCGAACCTCGTGACATCTTGTGCCATCAGCGGGCCCCGGTGGCCCCGGCCCCTCTCCCCAGGACGCTTCCCTGCGCTCGCCGCCGGGCCCGCGCCCCGACGGCCGGGCGCAGGGCCCCCACGGAGAGATGCCGCGATGGAGTGAGGCGGCCTGCCGGAGGTCCGGGGCAGGAGGGGCAGGAGGGGCCCACCGGTCCTCCTCGTCGTCGGCGGCGAGCGAGGGGGGGGGGGATCGAGTGAGAGCGGGAAGGCCTTCTCGGAGGGCTCGGGAGTCCCCCCGGCCTGCTGGGAGGTGTTCTGAGCCTTCCCCGACGACGGGCAGAAACTGCTCAGAAGGCGCGAGGGCTCCTGAGAGGTCCCGCCGCCTTCTGAGAAGGCCTTGTCCTCCTCACTTCCCCCCTTCGCTCGCCGCCGATCCTCATCGGGCACTGCTTCGTGGGGGGGCGAGGGACGGGGTCAGGCACACTGTCGGGGCCCAGCGGCGCCCCTTCTGGGCCTCTCCCTTGCGCCCCATCGACTCCCCCCCCCCCCCCAATGCATCGCCCCCCCCCGGCCCCCACGAGACGCCAAATCCTTCATCCGCCCCTCACGTCTGGGGTTGTCGCCACGGATGGGCTGTCGTGCCCCGCCTCGTCCTCCCGACATTCTCGTGGGCCCCGGGCCCAGCTCGGGCACTCCCGCAGCAAGATTGGATCGGGAGTTCAGCTCTTCTTGCGTTGGGACGTCGTGGCATCTTTGCACCGCGTCGGGTGCGGAGGGTCCCCCTCCTTCTAATCAACAGTCGCCCTCATCATCTCCCCCCTGGATGACGAGGAGCCCACTCCTCCGTCCTGGAGAATACGGTACCGGCCCCTCCTCGAGGAAGAAGGCTCGCATCCTCCTGATGCTGATCATTATCTTACAATTATTGCCCCTCCTTTTGAGAAACATAGTCATTTGCCAACGGATGAGCGAGGAAGGGCACATGTTGACGAGGATGCGCAGTAACAGTCGTGCCACGGAGGCACGCACCGCTCATGTGTTTTTTGAAATTCGTGCAGGGGAGTGGCGAAG